ACTTCGCCGAGCCGACCTCCGCCCGCCGAAGTGGGGGCCAGTGTTGGATGCGAATCCTGGCCTGCCACGTGTCGTGATCGAAAAGGTGAGTTGGATGAACATGCGGACGAAATATAGAAATTGAGTCCAAAGTGCTCAGGTCGGCAGATAGGGTAGGACATTAAGGACGAAAGCTTTATATTAATTAATATTTTAAAGCTCTTCCAACTACCCATTTAAATATAGTAAATTTCTTATTCTGCATGTTGTTGGAAAATAATTAAAATATAAACATTCACATGGACTATAGAGTATGAATAAAACACAAAAAGCAAAAGCGAAAAGGAAAAAGAAGAGAAGAAACATTATTATTAATTAATCAAATTTAAAAATAAACCCACCACATTAATTTTTATTGTTATTTTTTTCATGGCATAAAACTAACCACTATATATAACGCATGTTCCTGCCTCAGGATTACACAATCAAATCAACCAAAAACCTTCTTCGATCTCTAAAATTGCTCTCAGCACTCTCTTCAACTTCACTCCTCCCTTTCATCAAACAAATGCAAAAAATGTCTAGTGAAACTACTGTTCGGCGTTCTGCAAATTATCTACCTCCCATTTGGAAACATGATTTCGTCCAATCTTTAACAAGTGAATTCACAGTATGAACAGATGAAGCGTGTTTGGTCATTTAATTTTTTCATTTTGGTGTAGTTTTGAAATTGAATTGATACCATATGTTTGATATCATTTTCAGGGAGAAATTTTTGTACAACGCTTCAACGAGTTGAAGAAAGACGTTGAGGTCATCATGGGCCAAACAATTGATGAGCCATTAAAACAACTCGAGCTAATTGATACATTACAGCGGCTTGGAATCTCATACCACTTTCAGAATGAGATTAAAGTTATGTTGGAAAGAGTAAACAAGAGAGATGGAAGTGATTGGAAGAAGAATGATCTGTATGCAACTGCTCTAAAATTTAGACTCCTAAGGCAACATGAGTTCAATATTTCACAAGGTACTCCTTTCTAGTAATTCAACACACGCTTTGTATTACCTGTAGTTAAATTTAATTATAATATAAATATTTGATTATTTATTAAATTTAAATTACTACAATTTCACTCTAATAGAAGTTAGTTATTATTTATTATGTATGAAATTTTCCGTCACTAATTAATTACCTTATTACTAAAATTATAAAGACTAACGTATTGTTTACAGATTTAAATTTAACTTAAATGTTTTAATTAATTTATAAATGTTTCATTTTTTATTTTACAATAGTTTTACCAATATTGAATAATAATATCCAACTCAACCTAAAATATGAGGCGGAGGTATTGTATGGCGTTGTCCTATATTGAATAATGCAAAAGTAGTTAAAATTGTAATTAAAAAAAAAAAGTGATAGGAAACCTCAATCACTTTAATTTTTGGCATGAAAAGACTCAACTTGTATCAAATTCATGCACTAACTTACGAGAAAAATTCTTTCATTTGCAGAGGTTTTCGAGAACTTCATGGATGAGACTAAAAATTTTAGCACATGCCCTTCTGAGGACATAAATGTAATATTATCCTTGTATGAAGCTTCATTCTTATCTATTGAAGGTGAGGATGTTTTAGAGGCAGCAAAGTCTTTTGCGATAAACTACTTAGAAAAGTACATTCAATCCAGTATAGATGAACTTGAAATAGTCATTGTGAAGCATGCATTGGAGATTCCCATCTCCCTTACATTGGAGAATGTCAAGATTGGAAACTAGGTGGTTCATTGATATATACGAGAGAACAACAAACATGAGTCCAATTCTTCTCGAAATCGCTAAACTTGATTTTAATATGGTGCAAGCTATCCACCAAGAAGATCTTAAATATGCGTCAAGGTAAGAATAATATATCATCCTTCCCTCCAACAATTTTAGTTTCAAGAATATGCCTAGACCCATACTTTGAATATCATTAATTCAAATGCTTTTTTGCACACGTAAAGCTGGTGGCGTAGCACTGGACTTGGAGAAAAGTTGAGCTTTGCGAGAGATCGATTGATGGAAAATTTCTTATGGACAATTGGAGTTGGATTTGAACCTGAGTTTAGATATTTTAGAAGAATGTCTACCAAGCTCGCTGCATTCATAACGACCATCTATGATGTCTATGGAACGTTAGATGAACTTGAACTATTTACCGATGCGGTAGAGAGGTAAGCAACTAGTGATGTTATCTCATATGCAAAAGTTAGACAAATAAATTTTCACCTTATGCATATATTTATTATTTACAAAATTGTCTGCTGAAACGATATCCAACGTAAAGTATCCATTTGTTTTGAATTATTAATTTATTGCAATTAAAACATAACTGTTATATGATACAACTCTTTTAAGGTTGAAAGGGTTTTTTCAGTACTTAATAATTATATCTATATTTTTCAAACGTTATTAATTTTTAACTTTATTTTCAATGATATTTTTAGATGGGAAATTGATGCAATAGACCAGCTTCCGGACTACATGAAAATATGTTTTCTTTCTCTCCACAATACTATAAATGAGATGGCGTTTGACGTATTAAGAACCAAAGGAGTTAATGTCATCCAATGCCTTAAGAAAGTGGTAAGCACTTAGTAATCAAATTTTACAATTTTAAGCTTGATCGAGATCAAACAAATTTTTAATTAATTTATTTCTTAAAAAATATAGTGGGTAGATTTGTGCAAATCTTATATGCTGGAAGCAAAGTGGTACCATAGTGGTTACAAACCAACATTTCAAGAATATATAGACAATGCATGGATTTCAATAGCAGGACCAGTTGTATTAACTCATACATATGCTTTTGTGACATCTCCAATACAAAATGAGAGTTTGAAGAGCTTGAAGCAATATGATGGTGTAATTCTAATTCGTTTGTCATCAACAATTCAACGACTTGCAGACGATCTAGGAACATCATCGGTACGTGAATAACGAATACCCTCTTCATCTTGATAATCAATATGGTACTTTCTTCTCTTTCACATTCTACATTTTGACAATTTTCATACGCTAACATGATTGGATGAATTTTATTCAGGATGAACTAAGAAGAGGTGATGTACCAAAATCAATTCAATGTTACATGAATGACCATGGGATGTCAGAGAAGAATGCTCGTGAACATATAAAGCAATTAATTGATGAGACATGGAAGAAGTTAAATAAAGTTGAAGCTAAAAATTGTATGTTATTCCAAAGGTTCGTCGAGATGGCTAAGAATCTTACTCGAATGTCTCAATGCATGTATCAATATGGTGATGGACATGGTATAGAGCATCAAGAAACAAAGGATCGTGTGATGTCTCTACTCATTCGACCTATTCCTATTCATGAGTGTACAAAATAATAAGTCAAAATTATTTGAATAAACATGTATGCTATATTAGTGAGACTGAGTAGCCATATAAAATTAGTTTAGAAAATAAAATACATCAGTAGAATCTCTCCACAAGACCTTCCTCACTATGACACTAACGATGAAGCAAAGTTTGTGGGAACCTTCTTGAAACAATAATTTCGAGAGAATTGGTAGAGAATGTGTATTTTTTGCTTACCCCAAGGGTCCTCATTATAGGAGCTCGAGGTAGAATCTTTTTAAAATCACATATTAAAAAAGTTTATATTACTTGATTCTCGTAATATTTTATCTTAATATAATATTATCTTCTCCTTTGAATGTATCAATTACACCAATTATGATTGAATCTCGTGCGAAATAAAATCTTTTAATATCTCATATTAAATTTTTTTTATATTATTTGATTCATAATCAAATAATTATTTTATTAGTATATCTTATATATTAATAAAATATAATTTTCCTTTTAAATGTATCAAATACATTAATTTACTACTCCCTTTATTATTTAATATATCGAAATACATTAAATATGAATTTCAACATGTCAAATAAATTTTCTTTCCATATAATTGATCTATTAATGTTATTACGAGCTAAAAGGGGACCCGATGGACCTACAGTTTATAAGCTCTAATGATACAAAATTAATTAATTAAACTCATTAATTAATTAACTTTCACTCGTTAAGTCAAGGTTACTCTATTATAAACCCGGAGTTGGCACTGTAGAACAAGTTATGTCCATTAATATAATCACTACATACATGCAAGTCGATCCTTCACGAGTTGTTCAAAATTACAATTGGGTCAAAAGTCTCTTTTACCCCTGTAATTACATCTTATACCTAAAGTACCACTGATCATCTAATGAATAATTTGTTTATGATCAAACCATAAACGAAGTCCCTCTCGGGCCAGTGAGATGGTGCGGCCCCATTGTTTAAGTACCGAAATCAGCACTCAAGGGAACTACTCATCCACTTACCCTATAATGGGAAGGAGTGAATTCCATCTTGTCAGATTACGTTCTCAGCTCCCTTTTGGTCTTCCTTCATCTGCCCACCACAAGGGAACATGTAATCCGAACTTCATGTACTCTATCATGATGGTTGATGTATCCACCATGGAAGAAAAAATGGCGGATATGGAGAAGAAACTCAACATGTTTACGAAGATGGTTGAAGAAAGGGATTATAAGATCACTTCTCTAATGAACAAGATTGAAATTCAAGATGTTGCTTAATCAAGAAAAAATCTCGCTGTGAAATTCAGGTACAAAAGAAAGAACGTCATTCAAGAAGCACAACAGGAACATTATGTTTCCATTGCTTCGCTGTCTATCCAACAACCCCAAGAGATGATAAAAAATTCGATAAGAGTTCAGTATGGTGGACCTTCTCAAAATTCTCTCATGTACTCCAAGCCATACACTAATAGGATTGACAACTTGAGAATATTGAAGGGATACCAGCCTCCGAAGTTCCAACAGTTTGACGGACAGGGTAATCCTAAGCAGCACATTGCTTATTTCGTCGAAACATGTGAAAATGCTGCCACTCGAGGAGATCTATTAGTCAAACAATTCGTTCGAACACTAAAGGGCAATGCTTTTGACTGGTACACATATCTGGAGCCTTAATCCATCAACGACTGGGAGCAGTTGGAAAGAGAGTTCTTAAATCGCTTCTATAGCACAAGGCAAACCGTAAGCATGATGGAACTCACCAACACCAAGCAACGAAAAGATTAACCTATTATTGACAACATCAACAGGTGAAGAGCTTTGAATCTCAACAGCAAAGATCGACTGATAGAACTATCTACTATCGAGTTTTGCATTCAAGGCATGCATTGGGGACTTCTCTACATTTTCCAGGGTTAAAACCTCGCACATTTGAAGAATTAGCAACTTGTGGCTAGAATATGGAGTTAAGCATTGCTAATCAAGGAGATAGAGATCTTTTAGTCCCTGACATGAAGAAAGGAAGACAGAGCGAATAGACAACTTCTGAAGAATCAATGGTTATCAACACAACCTATTTGAAGTTTTCTTCAAAAAGAAAGGATAAGAAGGTCGAAAGACTACAAGAAAACGAAAGGCGTCGTCTAACCCTAAAGGAAAGACAAGAGAAAGTTTATCCTTTTATTGATTATGACATCTCTGACATGTTAGAACAACTACTAAAAGCGCAACAGATTGAACTCCCTGAATGCAAACGACCAGAAGAGATGAAAAAAGTAAATGATCCCAATTTCTACAAATATCATAGAGTCATTAGCCATCCAGTAGATAAATGTTCCATCTTAAAGGAACTAATTCTAAAGTTAGTTGAAGAAGGAAAAATCGAGCTAGACTTTGATGAATTAGTTCAAGCAAATCATACTGCAATAATGACAAATACATGTAGTCAAATATGCTCAAAGTCATTTCAGGGTCAAAAAGTGGAAGAATTTGCAAATATATATTACATAAATGTGAAAGAAGTCGACAAATCAAGAGAAATCAAATAAAAGACTTCTATCTTTCATCGTATCAAGCCTTCAACTTCTCGAGCTTCAGTCTTCCAAAGAATGCGTATGACCGTGATGAAAGGAGAAAATCAATGTTTGACTCGACCGTTAATCTTATGAGGGTTAAGTGTCTCCACATAATGAAAAAATCAAGCTTCAATATATACATTTGCTCGTCTTGAAGTGTGGGCAAATGATCGAAACAAAGGAAATATGAAGATCTTGAAGACGAAAAAATTTGATGGCAAAAAGATTCACAGCCTTGTTCCTTCACGTATGAAGAGAAAATTCTCTCTTGTCATAAGTACGGAAAGCTGCTTGAAGGTGAAGCAAAGTCTTGTCATTTCAACCAATCCTACAAATGAAGGATACGGTAAAAATCATGACATTTGAGATGTAACGCTCTATATCGCAAGAGCCTAAACTGCATGGTACTCCTAGCTCACATGAGTTTAAAAGGTGAACGACAAAAAAAAATTGTAAATGAAGTACGTTATGACTTCATCCCTTTTGCTAGAGAGTACGTAGGCAGCTTAAATATAACTTTAAGTTCAGTCCAAATTGAAAAAAAAAACTCATAATAAAATATCCAAGTACGAAAATAAAATCCAAGTTTAAAAAAAATGATGACGCCATAATGACGTTGCAGGACAAATACGGTGTTCGACTATATTGCATGCTAGTTTTGCATCAGAATGAAGGATGATAACCGGGGCATAAACCATCAAAGTAGTTTTTCCTCCTCATGATAGGTATCATCTTGCAAACTAAATCTCCGCTTGATCCTTGGCAGAGACGTTGCATCCCCTCTATTGTTGGCGAAGAAGTTGCAAGATCGTTGGCGAAAAAGCTACACCCACTCAATCGTTGAAGAAGAAGTTGCACTCGCACGATCATTGGAGATGAAGTTGCACCGGCTCGATCGTTGGAGAAAAAGTTGCACACGCATGATCGTTGGTCAAGAAGGTGCACCTGCTCGGTCATTGGCGAAAGCGCTACACCAGCTCGATCGTTGGCGAAGACGTTACAAATTACCTTCACAGGTGTCCTCCCCAAAAGGATATGGTAACCGAGAGGGTAAGGTCTTATTAGATGCAACAAATTACCCTCACAGGCGTCACCCGAAAAAGGATGGTAACCAGAAGGGTAAGGTATTCTGTGATGTACTAAACCCTACCACAAGTGGCTTAGGCAACCCTTGTAAGAACAAGCACCTCCTAAACACACACTGCAACACCTAGTACACACACAAAGAATCACCCAAAGGGAAGAAGATGGGACTTACCTTCAAGTTCAAGGCTTTGGAACGAGAGAACTTGTTCTAGATCCAAATTGAAACACTCCATAAGTTTGATGACCAACCTAAACTTGCATGTTTCAAGGGTTTTGTGCAACTAGATCAAGAAGCACCAAATGCTCACGGTTTTGGGAGAAAAGAGTAAAGCTCAAAGGCTATTTTCATTCATCAATAATCCAACCTCTCAAATGTACAAGAAGAAGTCTATTTATAGGCATCTTAAATTTCCATAAAATAAAAGGAAAATGACTTTGACTAAACCTAGACTAAAATAGTTACAAATTGACTTAACTAAGTTACATAATCTAAAGTTGGATCTAAGAGCTATTACATAAATTTTACATTAAATCCAAAAGAAAGTTACAATTCTAATTACATGAAAACACTAATTTAATGATCAAACCCTAAATAACCTCTAAAAGTTAGAGATCTCATGTTTTGTGTTTTAATGTTCCCTTGAAGTTTCTTTCTCCACTTCTTCTCCTTCCTCATAAAGCTTGATAATCCACATGTTGAAGTGGACATACCCTTCTTCATCGGTTGGCCCTCATGGCATGATGTGCGTTGCTTGAAGCATATCATTCTGAGCCGCAACAAATTACCACCACAAGCGTCATCCTCAAAAGAATGGTAACCGAGAGGGTAAGGTCTTTTGAGCTGCAACAAATTACCCTCACATGCGTCATCCCAAAAAGGATGGTAACCGAAAGGGTAAGGTTTTCTGAGCCGCAACAAATTACCCCCACATATGTCATATCCAAAAGGATGGTAATCGAAAGGGTAATGTAACGCCCCGAGTCCCTCAGGTTAGTTAGTCTCGAATCAGGAGATTTTCATTTAATTTTAAATGAAACTTTAATTAAATTTATATATATCGAGCTCCGTGTGGTTGGTTTTATCTTAAGTTGGGATGGGTTTCTTTTCTCTTGGGCTTGGTTATGTTGGGCTTTTTGGGTTGGTTTGGTTTTAAAACAAAGGAAAAGAAAATTAATAAAAAGAAAAGAAAACAAACCTAGGGTTTCATCTCTTTCTCCTATCCCACCCCTCTAGCCGCTACACCCCCCTTCTCTATTTTTCGATAGCCTGTACCCCTCCTCCGACGACGACGGCAGCAGCGACGCATCCTCGGCAGCAGCGTGAACCTTCAAGCCGGCGATCGGCGACCCAGCCCCCACGGC